GGCGCCTTGGCGTCTGTGGAGTCGGGGTGGGGGTGGAGAGTGTCTGTATAGGCTGGCCCGGACCCCTCAGCTCCCTAGGGGGCACCCTGAAACCCCTGCCGCCTCCACACTCCCTGGCACCCACACTCCCTGGCACTCCACAGCGCCCCCTGTTCATCCCAACACCCTCCAGCACTCCAAGGCCACCTCGACACACCTCAGCACCCAGGGGGCAACTTGACCTCCCCTGGGGGGACAACTTCCACCTCCCTGAGTTCCCGCCCTAAAGGGGTGTTGTGAAAACTGAAGGAACGGATGTCAGTTTGAGCTCTGCGTGAGATGGATCCTGGTTCCGGTCATGCCTACATATTGATACGTTGAGTGTGTACATCTACGCGGTATGTACCTGGAAATGAGTTGAAAACAGACGGGTGGCCCACACGCTAACCGTGGTCTGCTCTGGCATACGGTCCTGTGTGTCCCTCTCTGCTTATCAAACTTTCTCATTTTCCCACTGGAAACTGGCGTCACTTATGAAGGCCATAGGCCCAGTAATGGTGGCTTCTTTGTTCTCAGAAAGAAAGGGTCCTGGTCGGTCTCTAGGGGGTGGGGGTACAGGTTGGAGACGGGGGAGGCCCAGATTAGCTCCTCAGAATCCAGTGTGGGGTCCAGCCCAGCCCTGGTGTGGGCTCTGACGTCAGGGGACTTCCCACAGGACTCCCGTTGGCAGCTAGGAAGGGAAAGCTCCCTACTGGGCAGCTCTTCCTCTCAACCCTGGAGGAAGCTGGTGGAGCTTCCTGCCCCAGAAGTGCCCTCAGCCAACCCTGAGGCCTTATCTCCAGTCCCTGGCCCCCCCCCCGGCTCTTTCCTGGTTAGGGAGGAAGGCTGGTTTAAAATAAAGTGATGACTTCATCAGAACTGGAGCCAGACCCCAGCCTACAAGAGCAAGGCCCCCGCCCTTCCAGATTGGGTCACTGTCCCTTGCCATGGCCTGCTCTCCAATCACATACTTGTCTACAGCTTTCCAGCAGGGCCCAAGGAAGGGAGGCTCAATCTGGCCAGGCACAAGGGACATCCTCAGGGTCACAGTGAATCTGTCCCTGACCTCCACAGGCCAAAGGTAAGGCTTCCTGGGAGGCCTTCACCTCTTTCTTCTGTTCCGACAGGTCGGCCCAGACCCCCTGTTCTCATGGCCATATGTAAGCAAGGGGAAGGCCCTGAACCAGCACAAATGGCAACTGGGAGACAGACTGGGGAGCCCTGACGTCGAGAAACTCATCCTTGTGTCCATTGTTGAGGCCACTCCATGGAGGGCAGCAGTACAGCTAATGGACAATGGCTGATGCCCAGATTTTAGTCCTGCCCTACTGCTGACCCAGGCAGGTCACGGTCCCCTGGACCCAGCCTCCTCATCCACAAACGAGGGTGATGTGCTTGCCCAGCCAAGGCCTGGTCTCTGGGTACCTGCCTGAGGATTCTGTCCACTGTCCACCTGGCCAGTCATGGGGCTGGGAGATGCTGGAGCAGGCAGGGGTTCCTGGGGTGATCAGCTGAAACCTGGGAACTGCCTATCCCTGAGATGGGAACTGGAGAGAAGCCCTGGAGTGAACTTGGTGAGGGGCCAGAGCAATGGCCCTGGCGAAGGGAGTGCAGAATATGGGGATCCAAGCCCAGTCCACCTGGCCGCATCCAATCCTGCTGCCACCCCGAGTGGCAGATGGTGGGGGAGAAGCTGGCCCCACAGCAATTGGGACAGAACTAGGGTCAAACAGGAGTGGCTCCAGTCCCACCCAGTGCAGCCCTACAGAGAAGTTCCTTGGCTCAGAAAATGGAGACCTGCCATGCTCAGCACTTTGGGCCTAGACTGTCATTAGCAGAGATGAGCCCGGTATGGATGGAATTTCCATCCCATCCTCTGGGCAGGTGCCCAGGACGGAGGCTGACTCTTGTGGATCTGGGGGCAGAGAGTGCTGAGGGAGGGGAGGTGAACTCACTGCCCCACCAACTTCCTAGAAAGGGAGGTACTGGCTGGCTGGAGGCCGTCCATGGGGGGAGGAGGAACTCCCAGGGAATGGCCTCAGTGGATGCATGAGCCCCTCAGCAGGGCAGGGAGGCCCTAGGGACTCAGGAGAAGCGGGCCTTGCCCTGGACGGGTCCTTGACAGTGTGCAAATCTCACCCAGCCCTGCCTGAGGAGGTTTCTCAGTGGCCCTCCGTGGAGCTATGTCCTGATGTCACCACGGCTGGGAGGGAGGGGAAGGGGGGAGGGGGTACAGCCAGCTGTGCAAGTCACTAGGTGGCCAGGGCATTTTTTTGTTTTGTTTTGAGTTGGAGTCTCATTCTGTCACCCAGGCTGGAGTGCAGTGGCCGCTCCCGGCCACCGCAGCCTCGACCTGCCGAGCTCTGGTGATCCTTCCGCCTCAGCCTTCCAAGTAGCTGGAATTACAGGCGCGTGCTACCATGCCCGGCTAATTTTTTGACTTATTGTAGAGATGAGGTCTCGCCAAGTTGCCCAGGCGGGTCTCGAACCCGCGGACTCAGGCAATCCACTCACCTCAGCCTCCCAAAGCGCAGGATTACAGGCTGAGCCACCGAGCCCGGCTGGCCAGGGCATTTGAGTATCCTTCTCTCTGCTCCATACTTCAGGCAGCCCCTCAGCACCTGCCACAGTGTGGCCCTCAAGGTACAGTGGCAGGAAACAAAGGGCCCTTGGGCTCAGTCTCAGAACATGCACTCTCCTGTGTGGTCTGTTGGCTGTCACGCCTTGCATGGCCCAGGTTGAGTGGTGCGAAAACTCCTCCTCGTCCTGCCAGTCAGGCAGGGACCTGCAGAACTGCATCCACCCTGCTTTGCACAGGGCTCTGCTGCCCGACTGTGTAGCAGGGTGACGGTGGCGTCAAAGCGGTGATCGCCCACCTCCACCGTGCCTGCCTTCTCCCACATAACCTGCAGGCGTCCTCCCGCCCTTCAACCCAGGCAACCCCGGACACTCCACTCCTGAGGTGGTCACGGGCCAAGAGTGGCTCTCCAAGCAGGCCTGTCCCCAGCGACTGGGCTGGCAGGTGTCCAAGCACTCTCACGCCCAGAGGTGGCCGTTCTTTTTTATCGGCCCCATTTTCAGGAGGATCCTGAGGCTCAGAGAAGCCAAGCGACTTGCCCATGGAAGATCCTCTCCTATTACTCTGCCTGCCCCCGTGGTCCCCACCGCTGAGGATGTGTGCCAGGCTGGACCCACCCTGACTGCCAGGAAGTTCAGAGAACACAAGTCAGGGCCTTTTGGGTGTCTCCACCCCTGGACAGGTAGAGTCAAATGACGGAATCCTTGGGCTCTTGGGACCCGAGTACCGCAGGGTCAGCCCCTGTTCAGCGAGGGCCTTGCGGCCTTCATCCTCTTCGTCACCACCCCTGAGGCCAGCAAGCCTTTCGGGGCACCCGGTGGGCACTTAGCAGTGTCTTTCCTCCTCCCCAGCACCCTTCGGGGCACCCTCAGAACTTGGTAAGGCTGGCAAGTCGCCCACGTCCTTGTAGTCAGATGGGGAGTGGGGGTTCTGGGCCCAGCTCCTGGCTACCAAACCCCCTTCCCCACTCTACCTTACTGCCTCCTTTAAGGCTTGTCGTTGCTCTGCCTGGAATCCAAACACCGTTGCCGGGGTGGCGACAGCAGCAGGGGTGGCTCTGGGTGCAGCCCGCTGCTGGTATGTGAGCCTTTGGTGCCCACAGGGGACCAAAGGCCCTGAGCCCAGGCTCCCTGCACTTTGCCTGGGAAGGTGGGTCCAGAGATGCATGGTCCCCATCTCTGGTGATGGAAGACCAAGTCCTTCATCTCCTGCCGACACACGGTCCTTCCACTGAGGGACATGGCTCGCAAAGAAACCGGGCCTACCACCCTTTTGATGTGTGCGTTCTGGCAGCCCTGTAACCCAGCAAGCATTGTCCCCAGCCTGCAGATGAGTCAACTGAGACCCAGGAGCAGAGTGACTTGCCCACAGGCTCCTGCCCGACTTGGCAGAGCCTCGCCTCGCTGACCATACCCCCACCTCCTGAACATCTCCTCCCGACCCCACCCCCAATCGCCCCCTGCAGTGGTGCAGAGCCCCCTCCACTTACTGCACCCCCAGTCCAGAGACCAAGCTCAGGGCCTGCAGGAGGTCTACTTACTGGTCTCAGAGCAGAGCTGGGAACCCATCAGCATGGGGTCCTCGGGCACAGGTCCCAGGACTAGAAGGAGCTGTCTGGAGAAGGCAGTGGACAGGTTTCCAGCCACTTGGCAGGTCCTCTTTTTATGGGCCAGGGATCATGTTACAGGGTTGATGATTAATTCAATGTTGCTGTCATGGGTTACTATATCCAGGGAATTTCCCGATGGTTTCTCCTGGCTCACAGTGGACCTGCTACAGCTGGCTGGCCTGAGAGACGGAAGCAGGGTCTGGGGACACGGCCTGAGTAGGTTTTATGGTAACCTTCTCTCTTGCTTCTGACCAATCTCAACCTGGCTGTGTATTATAATTGCTCAAGGCATGTTAATAAGTACCTATGTCCAGCCCTGACCCCAAAGCCCCTGGTTCCATTGGCCTGGGGTGGGACCCAGGCATCAGGAGTTTTAAAAGTCATCCAAAATGGTTCTTTTTTTTTTTGAGTTGGAGTCTCACTCTGTCGCCCAGACTGGAGTGCAGTGGCCGCTCCCGGCCACCGCAGCCTCGGCCTGCTGGGCTCCACCGATCCTTC